GGCCAAGCAGACGTGGGCGCGGGGCGCCCGGCGCCAGCCCGGGGTCGGCGGAAGAAAGGGGTGTCGGCCGAGCTGCGGGGTGCAGCTGGCACGAGAAAGACAATCACAGATCTCCCTAAAACCAACTTGATCCAAACTGGTGCTCAACGTCCGATTCCCACCCATCACCCGCGGGCTCCGCGCTGGCCCCCGCCCCCGGCTCGTGCTGACCCCTGTCGTCTTGTGTTGCGTCTCAAGAGAGCGTCCGCCCTCCGGCTGCGTGCGCCCAGGCGGGTGCAGGGTGCGCGCGGGCGCGGTGGACGCGGCCGTCGGAGCTGCGTGGTCTCTGGAAGCCATTGGAAGATGCGAGTTTGTGCCTTTCACTGCTCCGGTGGGGTTGTGTGGCCGGGTTTTCTAAAGCCTGAGGAACGATGCCTTAAGAAAAAACAAACAAAAACACTGAACCGCGGGGTCGGCGGGACGTTTCGTGGACACCGCCCGCGTCTCCGGGAGGGCCCGCAGCGCACACGCCCTCGGCTGCGTGAGACTAACGGAGGTCGTTGCCAGTGCAAGAAGAAATGGCAAATACTGTTGGGGTGTTGAGGTCCAGCCCCCTTTTGACAAAGCCAAAGCGTTCTTCTTCCTCAGGCGTCTTACAGCGACCGAGCACCCTCCCCTTGACCGTCCAGCATGTCCGGGCACCTCGCAGTGTTAATGGCCAGAATGCTTTTTATGAAAAGCAAGTAGCATGAAGTATTGCTTAACATTTTAGGTATACGTATATATATGTATGTGTGTGTGTATGGCTATGCATACATGCATACATATGTATAATATATATTCCAATGTATTCCAAGCTAAGAGACTTGATTCTCATGAAATCTTGATAAAATATTTATAATGCATTTATAGAAGAAAAAAACAAAGGTATATATATATATCTAAATATATATATATATATTATATAAATGAGAAACACAGGTGGTAAAGAATCCCTGGTGACCGGGGGGCTTGCAGCTTAAGCGTCCAGGTGGTTTCTGGGAGGGGATGGAGCTTGAGACTCACTTTATCCTGAGCCCTCGACTGGCCGCTCGATGGCCCACTCCTCCGCCCGCGGGCAGCTGCCCTCCAGGCTGGTACTTTCAGGGTTTGTTTTGTTTTTCCCAGAAGCCTCCATTCCTTCACCGGACCTCCGTGCACATATGTATCTAATGAGTTTTTGTAGCAAAGGATATAAATTTGGGGGGGGTGGGGTTTTTTTGTATGAATTTTTTTCACACGCAGATTCCGCCGAATAAGCGTTGTTTTGTGAATTTTACACATTTCCCCTCACCATTCAGCGGTTTGACTGAGAGGTGATGACGTCATTCTTTCTCCGTTTTTCCTTTCTAAAATCTCGCTTGTACATTTTTCTTCCTTTGTTAAGAAAACCCCTCAGGGGTGTTTCTGTTCTCCATCGTGCCCATTTTGTCTCTGTGCAGCCGGCCGGCAGCCCTTCCCGGGGCGGACAGTGCCACTGCGCCAGAGTTTGTTTTCAGAGCGAACGTCGAATGGTTGGGGGGGGGTGGGGGGGACAGGAGGGCAGGGGCCTTTCGTGTGGACGTCCCCACCGTTGTCTTTTCTGAGTCCTGGCCCCGGAAATTCAGAGAAACCTCCTGACCACCCGCCTTGGTAGGCCTCCAAGGTGGCACTGTGTCCCTTCGCGGCCCGCGTGGGGTCACCGGGGCAGGGTTCTCAGAACCTCTCAGGTGAAGGCTGTGGGGGGCCCCCAGCATAAGGAGTGCCGCTTTTCCACTTCTCGGACATTCACTTTTCCATAGACCTTTGAAGCAGGTCAGCAGTGCATGGGTTGCAGTGCGCCTGGGGCCCGGTTTCCCCCCAACAGCTCCACAGTCGGGGCCCTCCCCGCCATGACCCTGGAGGGATAGCACAGACCCCCCACCAGTGTCCTCCCTCCCCCCAGGACACTGTCCTGCCCTTCTTTCCTTTGACCGACTTTTTACTGTAATTTAACTCCATCACCCAAAGCCCGCAATTTCATTCCGAAGGGGACTGAGCTTGCACTGGGGGTGGAGGAGGTGGGCTTTCTTGTACACAAGCCCTCACAAGCAGCCCCAGCCCAGTGATGGGGTTTGGTGATGTCCACAGCGTAGTTTCTGACTGACCTCTGCCCAGAGGCAGCATTCAGAGTCCAAGCAGGCCCACTCAGGGCCAGGGCTCAGCCCCATTCTTTGCCCAATCTCGGGGCCCCTGACCCCAGCCCCTCCCCCCGCCAGCAGTGGCTCGGGAGACCCAATCGGTCTCCAATTTCTTGCAGCTGACCACTGTGGGGGCTTACGTCCAGTGTCCCTCGGGCAGCGGCCTGGGGGACCCATTTCCTTTGTCACCCACTCCAGCTCCTCAAAGCCTGCTTGAAGCATTACCGTGTAGCCTTTGTTTCCTTTGAAGACACACTTGCCTGTCCCCAGCCGGCCGCCCCTGGCCAGCATGGAGGGACCGCTGGTGTCTGTGCCCAGCGCCAGCAGGGTGGTCCCGGCAGGCCTTCGGGGCACTGGTGAGTGAGCACTTTATCCCCCTTGAGGGGCGCCCGCCCCGCAGCCCCTCCAGCATCCCAGGGCTCTGGTGTGCAAGGGGCCTCTTCGTCAAAGTGTTTCCGTTTTCTTTACTTTCAAACGAAAAGCAGCTCTGTTTCCAAGAGCGGGACCGTTTCCCCACTACCCCACCAGGCCCGGCGCAGAATCGAGCCTGACTTTGCCGGCTCCCGTTCTTGCTTTGCACGGGGACGTTGTTTCTCTCCACTGGCCCCCCTTTCTCATTCCATTCTTTTTTTGTAGACTTTTGGGCCCACGTGTTTTATGGGCATTGATCTCTATATAAATATCTATACATAAATATATATGAATATATTTTTTTAAGTTTCCTACACCTGGACGTTGCATGACTTTAGGATGGGCATGTCTTTATATTGTATACAGATTTTGCACGCCAGGCGTGGCAGCTTTGGGGAAAGGAAGAAGAAGAAACACAATGCCTTTTTTTCTCCCCCCTCTCATGACATTTGCAAACACAAAAGTCAAAAACTTTTTCTGTAACACAACCTTGAAGGAGAGTGGGGGGGCAGGGGGGGGCGGGAAGGGACGTTTGCGTCTTCTTGAACTTATTCTTAAGAAACTGTACTTTTTACTGTCAGAAAAATTAAAAGGACTACTTAAACATTTGTCATATTAAGAAAAACCTTTATCTAGCACTTGTGACCGACCGGTAATAGAGTTTATTGTATTTATGTGGAAACAGTGTTTTAGGGAAACTGCTCGGAGCCCAGCACTGCGCTGCCTGTCTCTCCAGAGGGAACGTGGAGGGGGCGGGGGGCATTTTTGTTTTGTTCTTATCCTTTTACTTCCTTTCCAGGGGGGCGAGCGGGCCCACCAGAGGCCGCCCCATCCCCTCCTCCCCAAACTCGGCGCCGGCTCCTTCATCCCATCCCAGGGGCGTTTGGCTCCTATTCTGCCGGCCCCGTGTGAGCACTGTGGTTTCAATACTCCGCCGTGGGGGGCGTGCCCTTCACTGCACCCCTCCCTCTGTCTCTGATGCTGATTAAAAGTCTTCTATTGAAAGAATCGGCTCTGTGTGGTTGGTCAGGTGGGGACAGGTGCGCCGCGCCAGGGAGAGGCAAAACCCTCTCGTAGGTGCCCTGGTATCTCCCCAACGTGTGTATATAATGAACACACACAGTGACACACCTATATATAAAAGCTTTATATGTGCACAGTGCACACGTATATACATATTGCAGTGTCTACACACACCTATCTATAGGTATCTACCTATCTATGGTGGGTGTGGGCTGCCATCAGGTTGGTTCAGACCCAGGGCGTCATCCGCCCAGCTTGAGGGCGTGCGCCTGTACTGGACTAGCGTACGCGTGTTAGAGGACAGTCCGTGAACGTGCCTGCATTGCTCACACAGACGGTCTGAAGCTACCTTGTGTCCAGCAAGCCTCCTGGCACCATTCTTTCTCTCTGTGTGTCCCGTGCTGGTCATTCTCACAAGATCTCAACCTTCCCCGTCACACCAGAGCACACACCACTGACTGGCCATCACCCCCGGCCAGGCAGAGTCCAGGCCGGCTCGCGGCAACCCTGCAAAACAGAGCAGCGGCTGAGTGGCGGGCGGGTTTGAGCTGCCCACCTCGCTGCCCTAAGCCCAGCCCTTGGGGAATGGCACCATCTGGGCTCCTTCGTGGTCAGCAGTATGGAGCCCACATGACTTGTGCATTGGCAAGCAGGACAGCCCTGGGGCTGATGCGGGCAGAACGGGTCATAGTTTTCTCCAAGACGGGCCCCACAGTACCCCAGAGATCTGTCTCTATTTCTGAGGACAGTAAGGGCATGATCAGATCCCCAGTACCCCCTGTTGACTATACTCCCCCTCCCTCCCCGGTGTGCCCCACCACCCCCACCCCCGACCAGCAGGTGCCACCAACATCTGTAACAAACATTCCCTGTGAGCGTTAGACCTTCCCGGGCTCTGTAGTGTCCATGATGCCCTTGTCCTCCATGTCCCTGACCACCAGTGTCCACCTCCCAGTCCGACTTCCCTTCATCAGGGGCTGATGTCTCATGTCACAAATGGTGTCTGCAACATGGGGTGGACAGACACGTGAACTGTCCCCTGTCTGCTTTCTCCCTGTGCACTGCCCCGCTCGCTCCAGGGATGCAGTGTGCTGGGCGGGCCACTGCCCCTGGGCACCTAGGACCTAGCACTGTGGCTGTCCTTTCACCTTTGCCCATCCCTCAGGTCCCCTTGGGCATGTCTTCATGCTGAATAGCCGGTAACTCAACAGGAGCCGTGCTGACTGGGTGGTAGAATTCTCATCCGCCATGCAAGAGACCCCGCCAGGTTCCATCCCCAGCCAGTGCACCTCCGCACAGCCGCCACCGTCCCTCGGTGCAGGCCTGCGTGTTCCACAATGGTGGACAGGCTCCAGGCGAGTCTGGGGAGCTGCCCAAAGCTAGCCGACCTATCTCAACAGACCGCAGAGTGCATGCCCCAACCAGCCAAGGCAGGTCCTGCCTTGTCCCCGGGCACCACTTGGTCCTCACAGGGTCTCCTCCTTAGTGTCTATCTGTTGGGGGGGCAGGGGGGCTGCACGAGAAACTGCACCTGTGGGACCTCTCTTCATGGGTCAGCAGCACCCCTGCCCGGGGGACCCCTGCCCTCCAGCAGTCCTGCTCCCATGGCTTCCTGCCTCAGCTCCTGCCTCCTCTCAACACACAGCCACGTGGTCTGGCCACACATGGGGCTCCAGAGCCCCGTGGAAAGCCTCTGGTAGCTCCCTAGCATACATGCTGCTAAACCATGTGGTCTGTCCTCCTGGCTCAGGAGAGTGGACACTGAGGCTCAGGTTCACCCCAGACCCCCCAGGGCTGAAGCAGCTTTAAGAGCAGCTGCCCACCAGCCAGGCCAATGAGAGCTCTGGCCCTTGCCCTCTCGGCCCACGGTCTCAGCCCACCTCTGGGTTTGGAGCGGCTAACTCAGCCACTACCCTCCTGCACTCTGTGTTAATGAATAGAGTCCAACCTATCCGGGAATAAACTCAACAAACGTAATGCCATCAAGTCCATCCCAACACCTTGCGACCCCACTGTTGGTGTGCGCGGGGCCATTGAGCCAGTTCGGAC